ACACACACACACACTTCTTGTAGCCAGCTGTGCGACCATAAAGTAAGTCTTTCTGGCAATGCAGAGTGTAGCATTCCAGGAGATGATTTGGGTGAGAGAGCTGGCACCAAGAGCTGCCTTCATAAATGAGTGGGATTTGGAAAGGAAGAGAACACTATCTGTAGTTTCAGGAGGACTAGTCACACAAGGCCCATGTGAGAACTCTAGCAAGACTGTTATTTCTGTGCAGTAAGTAGTTCTTTATGTAAGAACCTGTAAATAAAGTGTTGTTTCCACACTACATGTCTCATCAAGATACTGCCAGCAGCTCACTTGTTGCTTCAGACACAAATTACCATGCCCAGTAGCTACAACTGTGAGACTTAACGCAGCACTCTGCCCCGTCAGCGTGCTGAGCCAGACACAAGTGACAGCCATCTGGGCAGCTGCATGGCATGCAGTGTCTCCAGGCTTGCTGATTTTCCAGCAAAGAAAGCAGCCTTCCCACCTAAGACTGCACTCCAGTTTTGGGAGAGCTGTTTTTTGGGAAAAGACATGCGTATGCAAGAAAAGATGGCAGGTTCTTTACCCTTTGTTCTGTGTTGTTAATGGGCTTTTCAAATACTCTTCAGAACTATTTGGAAAATAACATGATCTGAGATTTCAGGTCCCTGCCTTCATTAAAACACTTCCTGGGAAGATCATCTCCTGTGGCTATTGCCTCTAGTTACTCAGCAGAATAAGAAGCAGAATCAAAATGTGATCCTTGCCAGTCTTCAATATTATATTAATACAAATAGGATTGTTTTAAAAGGACTTGATGCCCCTTCTTCCCAAAGGCTCTAACATGCCGTTTTCAGAATGGCCAGCCAGAGAAACTACATAACACCTTATGAATTATCTCTCCTTGTATGTTTTTAGTTGTGGAGATTTGTTATCACATGCTGTATTGTTTTCTTATTTGGGTTTCATTAAATGGTGTTTTTTATCTTCAGCCATACCCAGAAGATCCAGCAGTGTACAAACCACTCTCCCAGGAAGAGCTGCAAAGGATAAAAAATGAAAAGAAACAGAAGCAAAATGAGAGGAAACAGAAAATATCAGAGAATCGCAAACACCTGGCTAGTGTACGGGTGGTACAGAAGAACCTCGTATTTGTGGTAGGGCTCTCCCAGCGTCTAGCAGATCCAGAGGTAAGAAGTTCACACTTGGATTTAGGTAAAAATGACACCTTTTCACTTCTAAAGATGCACTGAAATGTAATTTTCTTATGCCTCATTTGCATGAGACTGCCTTACTGATGCTGAAAGCTGTCTCTGCTGTGGACTTCCTTCCCCTTTTAACAAGTAAATGTCACATAGGTTGATAGGCCTACTCAATCACTGTTTCACCAGGCTTTCTTGTTTCTGGTAGCAGAATTCATTTCACGCTCTTTCTTGGGGGGAACAATGTAAAATGAGACGCAAACTTTCTTGTGCTGAGCCATGGCCTGCAGCACGAATTTCGTTTGTCAAGTAGTTTTCACCTCCATTTGAAATGGTGTCAGTGTCTCTTAAGATGATTTCAGCAGGTTCAGCCAGCTGCTGTAGTTTGGAAGGCATGCTACTAAAGTAAGCAGCTAATATGATTTCAGTACAAAAGAAACTAGCTGCTGGATTTCTCTAGTGCTTAGCACTTTGTGCTTCTGATAGATCTGACTGGCAGAAATTGCTGCTGTGTTAACCTCTCAATGTTCCCTCTCTCCAGTTCATATCAGAGCCTTTCCAAGGGAGAAAATATCTAGAGCAGTGGAGGCCAATCTTTCTGGCAGGTGTGCCACAAATTAGCTCTGCCCCCTCCCTATGTCACTCCGATCCCCTTCACCTGTCCAATTTTTGCTCTGCTTTCTGCTCCCTGCTTGATCTACTGCTCTTTTCTGCTCCCTTTCCTGCCTGCTGCTGTGCTTCTTGTCTTCTCTCTGATCTGCTGCTGGGGGCCCACAGGCTACCTGTGCCACTTGTGGCATGCATGCCACAGGTTGGCTGCTCCTGATCTAGAACATTAGAAAGGAAAGGGAAGTTTGAGCAGCTAGGCAGGAGGTGACAAAAGAACACATCTGTCTAATAGGGCTGTGCGAAGCTTCGGTCGCCAAATTGGGCCGAATCAAACTGGCGACCAAATCTCCAAATCCAAATCAAATCAGGAGACCCATTAAAAGGTCCGAATCAAATCTGAAGCCTCTGAATCTATTCAGCAAAGATTCAGAGATTCAGATCGGCCAGGGAGAGGCAGACACAGCCAGCCAACTGCAGGTTCTCCCATGGCTCCTCCAGCGGTGCCTGCCTTTCCCCAGGCAGGGGGAGCTGCAGGAGAAGCCCCCATGGCTGCCCTGCCTGGCCCCAGCCTCCCAGCACTTAAAGCCCCCCGCATTCACCAGCTGCAGCAGCCTCTGAGGGCTTGTGACACAGCCCCCCGCCATGCAGCGCAGGGCAGTGGGGATTTCCCCCCCCCTGCCTGGCACCTGCCTAGCCACTGCCCCATGGCATGGGTGCTATGCAGCTTGGCTGGGCACTGCGTGCTATCTGGGAGCTGGGGTTACTGGGGCTGAACGCTGCCAGGCTCTGGGTGACTGCTGGAGTCACCCCAGCTCTGTGACAGTGTGCAGCACCGTGCTGAGTTGCACTGCACCCACGCCATGGGACAGCTGTTGTGTGGGTGCCAGGCGTAGGGGGGGGAT